AGGGATAGAACATGGAGCCATCTAATAGGAACTTAACAGCAACTGGGCATTGGGGAGACAGAACAAATATGTCATGGGCAGTACAAAAACCCTTCCTACACCATGATGATGCCACCCATCATATTTAGCTTGATTTATAGCCAGTTCCATCCCGACGGCTCAGGGTGGATAACAAGTTCAAGGCATAACAAAAGAGAGAGAGCTATATTTAAGTCATTTAACTCAGCTTAACTCTGAGTCCTATAAATCAATGCAATAAAAAGGAATGACCCATGGACACCCTCATAGCAATGTCAAAAGTAACACACCCTAGCAAAGCACAGCAAGCACACAAATTATCATCCTATTCAAGCCTCTATCCCCCTCTCTTTCAAAGGCAGTAATATGGGAGCTCACCTGGGCTCACCCCAGACCTTCTGAACTTTAGAGCTACCCTTATTGTATTAATCTGCTTCTTCCCCTTGAAATTACTAATGCACCTTAGGACTCACTGCCTTAGGAGACTGAAAGGGAAAGGGCACCAACCTTTTAAAGAAGAGGGGAAACTGACATCTTTCCTTCCTCAGCCTGCTCATTATGTTCACTGCCCAGAGTCCAAAAGTGCCTAATAGTCCCCCAGGATTCTCTGCAGAGATTGCCCCACCGGTTGCTGCTGCCATTGCACTTGCTGCCCTGGGACACTATAGGCAGTGAGGGTTAGGGCTGGTCCCTTTTCAGAAACAGGGCGGTCTTTGGAAGACAGGGTTTTTTGAGGCTCACGCGCGCGCATGCATACACACCAAAGTAGGTGCCAGGCACACCTCTTTGGGGAGCTCATTCCACAACTAGGACACAATAACCAAAAAGGCCCTCCTTCTGGTAGCTACCACCTCACTTCCTTTAGAAGTTGCTCCCAAAGAAGCACCCCGAAGATGACCTCAGTGTCTAGGTAGGGACATATGCGACAAGGTGATCCTCTTAGTAGTGTTTTATTTGGTATTTATGGATGCATTTGCTTAAAATAAGATATTAACATTTTCTGTTTGTTGTCATGAAAGTTGCTTTAGCAAATACAACAACAGAAATGCTCTAAACAAAGGAAGGTGCAATCACGGCTTGGTGGGACACACTGCGAGTTGTAAGCCTCTTTTCTCAATCTGCCATTTTGTAGAACTAGACAAAGGAAACAGAAAGCAAGCAGAAGTTGAACATGGAGGTTGCCCTGATTCTCCTCTCTATACTAAAAATTCCCATCATTCTTGCCTACCTCATGGGCCAACTACACACCTCCAGAACCTTGGGGTGGAGAAACAGGAAAATGGCTGGCACATAATTTTGTTTCCTATTACATTTATACCCTACCCCTTTTTTCCCTCCAAAGAAGCCAAGGCAGTTTATATGAGCCTCTTCTCCATTTTATCCTCACAACAACCCTGTGGGCTAGGCTAGGCTAAAAACTAGTGACTGGCCCAAAGTTAACTAATGAACTTTATGGCTGAGTTGGTACCAGAACCCAGCTCTCCAGAGTCCAACATCTCAATGGTTTAAGTACCTTCTCCATTCCCTAACACATCTCTGCTCTGTATTTGCCCTTTCAAGGCACTGTGCCCATGGTGGGTGGGTTGATAGGTGGGAGGTTACACATGTTTTTGGTGCAATGCCTCATCCCAGAAATGGCCTCTAGGCAAGAACTGTACCAGGTACAGACTGGCACACAGACAGAACACATTGTATTATTGTTCTTTACCAAGCTTATAGGACGTATGAGTAACGTTTCTCCGAAGTATCTTCCTTTCAAGCAGCAGCACCTGATGTAAACCTTTTTCTTATAAGATAAGCAAACAAAAAATGAAAAGACAAAGGCAGTTAAAAAGATTAGTAGTCCATCACTCCTAGTAGTGGTAAAGGCTATTACCACTACCAAGCTCATCAAAGGTACCACATTAATTCCATAGAATGGGAAGGCACCATTCCAGTGTGTGACCAGAGAAAGGTGTGTGAGGTTTTAATTTAAAAAAGGCAGGCATCATCTGCTCAAGATTATAGATCCCTCAGAAAACACCTTTTATCCCAATTGGTGAAAGAGAAGTTGCTAAGTGCCAGCAGCCATGCAGATGTTAGCAAACTGACTCCAGCTGCTTTGCCTGCTGAAAAAAGCCAGTTGCTTATTTTCAATAAAGAAACTGAGTTTTTGTTAGCAATGACTCTGCAAAGTCTTCACTAGTAATAAGCAAGAAATCTGGGGAATGGAGGCAGCATTAAGGGCTTTTTCCCTTTCTATAGAAACTGCTAACTACTTAACAAAATTAACACCCATCATTAACAGTCTCCAGTGTCTTACAAATCATTTTCAAATGGAAACAAATGTTTTCATCTTCAAAATCATTTGGTTTTTAAAAGCATATAACATGGCTTTGGACTTTCATGTTATCTAGTGATAGAGAATTATTCCTCATGAACATTAACTTGAACAGTAAACAGTAAGTAAACAGACAGCAAGCTGCAGTTCCACAACCCAATTCTATGAACATTTGCTTGGAAACAAACCTCACCATGTTTGGTGTAGCTTACTCCCAGGCAAGTGCGCACAAGAAAACAACCTTCGTGTTGCAGTGAGATGAAATAGAATGAGAATACCATTACACAGATGTATTCAAATGAAGCCTGCAATGCTCTTCTTGGCATAAATCCCACTGAACTTACATTAAGTGTTGTTTGTGCAGCATCAGATCTTTAAAATGTTTCTTCTGAAGTCCCCACTGCTCCAAGTGTTCACTCAAACAGGATATCTCATATTCCAGGATATCAATTAGATAAACCAATACAAATGGGGTAGAAAGAATTTGAGGAAGCATTATTCTGACAGGCACTGACAGATGATGTCACTCAACCTGTTCAGGTAATGAAGACTCAGGATTGCCACGTCTTAGGCCTGTGTTACGGACACTGCAACCCCTCAGCATCCAGGTACTCCAGTGAATGCAACACATCACTTAACAGGGAAGAGTCTAAGCAAGAGTGTTCATGAGAAGAAATTCCCTTGACTCCAAAAGGTGCTCTCTGGTGACCACAAACAGACGGGTGGCGTGCCCTTCCAAGTATCTATCGTAGGGCCCAAAAGACTTTTGTTTTGAAATACGCTATTCCAAGGAGAATCAACCTTCAAAACATATAATTAAAATAATAGAAACACGAATGTTAAAACTTTCTAAAATAGTACAATATCCCTTGAGAATTAAACATGCAAGTGTGCTTAAGAAACGCTGGTAAACTATTAGGATTTATCAGTAGTATGGTATCATTTGTTTTCCAGACAGAGTCTTAATTCTAAAACTTCCTTACTCTGAACTAGGACCCATTGAAATTAGTTACTCTCAAGTAATCAGACAAAGCAGTACTATCCAATGCACATTTTACTCAACACTGAGTCCTCCAGAGTTCAGTGAGACTTATCTCTAAGTGAGCATGCACAGGATTGCAGTCATAAATGCTATCAGGCAGCAAAAGAAACACAACTAGAAACAGAAGTGCACAAATCAGTCATGTGAATTTTACAAGATGGGACATACATATAGAGGACAGTATTCCCACTGTTCTTACAGGCCTTGCTTCTCTATGTTCAAACAGGATGGCCAGATACAAAAGAAGATGGCCAACAAAATAATAGCCACAGTGCAGGTTTTCTTCCTCCAGAATGACAATCCTGCTCAACTATCTTCTTCTATAAATTGGTCCTATGATCATTTGCACCTAATCTTTTTTCAGCAGCTTGACAAAAATTTAGCAGGAGATGCTTTTTCAGGCGTGGAAGTCAAGTGACCCAGGAAAACTCCACCTGCCTTAATTGCTGCACGCTAGACTGTTATAAGCATAGACCATAAACAGCAGAATAATATCCATTCTTAGAACCACAAAGAGTAGATGCATCACAGTAAGACAGACCTTGGTCACAATTAACTGAAGTCCCATTCCGTTCAACGACTGGGTCTACCTCACAGAGAACTAACAGTGAATACCACATGCAGTAAGAAACTGGGTTAACCTGCTTCTTTAAGTACCATTATCCCAACCTTCTCAAAAAAAAAAAAAAAGGGGGAAGGAGAAAGGACAGAACCAAAAAGCATAGTGAAGCTTTACAGCAATACTCGCAGTGTGTGTACGTGTGTTTTTAATGATACACTGATCTCGTTCCACCCAATACAAAGTGCGTTACTTCAGTGACTCAAGTGTTTTTCCTTCCACCAAATCATATCTAAGTAGCCACAGGGAAAAAAGTGTTACACAGCTGGGCTAATGGGACATTTCAAGGCTGCTGTTAATTCGAGAAGAAAAGTGTGAGAGCAGGCACGCAAGCAGCGCAAATATTGTTTTTCAAGAGGTGACGCTCAGCGATTGATAGTGGGACTGTTGACATCTACAAAAAAGCCAGCTTCAGGACCACACAGTGGGAGTTTTGCTCAAGGAAGAGGAGGGCGGGTGCTGCTGGGGGAGGACACAGGGGCTGTAGCCAAAAGCAGCCGTAAACGTTTGCATGAAAAGGCTCTTTACCAACAAGCATGATGCCATGAATGTTGCTCTTTCAGTTCAGATGCCACCGGGACCCCTTAAAGGAAGAGGACTCGGGTGAACGAAAACCGCCTTCTCAGCAGCCAGACCTTTAGATCCGCTTGCGCGCAGGTTCATCCTCGTCGCACCCAAACTCTCCAAAAACTCGTCACCTGGCCAAGATGCCACCCCTGAAGCAGCTTGGCCAAAAAGAAAGCTAGCAAGAAAAGGCTCCCCCCCCCCAACCCCCGAAAAGATCCACCCTCGGGGCCACCCGAAGCGAGGGTGAAGGGGAGACTGAAAGGAAGGCGGCGGCGGCGGCAGTCCGCGGTTTGCTTCCCTCCCCGGGGCAAAGCCGGCTTGGAGTGAGGAGGATGGATGGCTCACTCCGGCTTGGAGTTCAACTGTCCAGCGCTTGCTCGGTCACATTGCAACCCACATTCCCCCTCCTGCTGCCGCGGCTCTTTAAGGCTTACCGGATTTAGGAGGATATCTGTAGATGGAATTAGACGGGATGTCCACCTCTTCCACGCCGGCGTTCTGCCTGCTGGTGAGCGCTCCCATGCTTCAAGCGTAGCGGGCAGAGGGAGAGAGGCAGAGGGCATCCGGGGGGAGATTCCGAGCTCGCACCTTTTCAATGCCAGGGAGGAGGAGGAGAGAGGAGAAGAGGAGGAGACAGCGGCGTGCGGCAGGGCACGGGTCAGCAGCTTGCTCGTCCACCTCCTCCTGCAAACTGTGCGGCTCCCTCACTGGAGAAGCTGCCGCATCGACTTGCCTGCTGCTGCCCCCAGGGGGGTGGCGGCGGTGCCTGCTGCGAGCCAGCAGGGGACGGAGGAGGCCGTTCCCCCTCCGCTCCCCATCCTTCCCCTCCCTCGCCAGAGCCGAGTGACCCAGCCGGCTGGAAGCCCCTCGCGGAGCACGCTCGCCCGGCGGGCCGAGGGCGGAGCGCGCTGCTCGCGCAGCTCGGCTCTGGGCCGGCGGCGGGCCGGCGCGGCTACAAGTGCGGCAGGCACCCCCGCCGGCGGCGGCGCGGCATCTCCCCTCACTGCAGCAGCCTGGCAAGGAGCTGGGCGCCGCCTTGACGTTGGCGGCCGCTCTGCTCGCCAGCCAATGGGGGCAGCCGGGAGAGCGGGCTGCTCGTGGCGCCTCCTGCGTGCTCCGCGCGCGGGCCCAGCGGCCGCCTGGCACAGGGCGGGCGCCCGCCGCCGCCTCGGCCGGCTCGCCAAGCGCCCTCGGCGCGGACCGCTTCCTGGCAGATACCCTCGGCAAGGCGGAGCAGCGCCCCTCCTCGCCCCAGGGAGCAGAAGCGGCGGGGAAAGTTTTGCGGGGAGGGCCCCCCGCTTGCCCGTTTGTCTGCTCTCTGGAGTCGCTGCTTCACTTTAATTCCTCGTTGTTGTTGTTGTTCCTTTTAATAATGCGCCAGCCTGACTGGAAAGAAGCGTTGGGGCAGCCGGGAGGCCCGCGCTCCAGTCTTACATGCTGAGTCTGCGACTGTGTTCAGTGCGGGCTCTTGAATCGTGGGTTATCATGTCATCTGAACTCGTGTGGTAACAAGCTGGGGCTAGTTAACCACAGCCAACTCATGGAGAAAAGCCATGGTTGTTGGGTTGTGAACTGTGGGTTGTCAACCATGGTTTGTTATCTTGGCAGGATTCACAGAACACAATGACCCATATTTCAGGAACAATTCCAGAGTTCATTGACAGCCAACTCTCAAACCTTGAACTCTTGAAGATGGCTTATTGTGTTGCCTTGACCCCCCCCCATGCTTGTTTCCCTCTGAAGTGGGAACTGCTTTGTTCAAAAGGACTTCTTAGGATCTGCAGCCTGGTGTGTGGAAGTTTTTCTCCAAATGGTGAAACTCCCATATGCATATTTATTCCAAAACACTTGCCCTTGGTTCAAGTTGACCTGTTGCCTACTATGTGTACTGAAGGAGGGTGCAGCATAAGATAATGAGTGTTTTTTCTAGCAATGTCCCTACACTGACAAGGAAATGACACTTTTTTCCATCACAGGAGAGCAAGGAGCCTGTAGTGTACATGGTTCAGAGAGCTGTGGCTGATTGAATGGTATATAAAAGTTTTAATAGACTAATTTAGGGTGCAGTCCTATGCATGTTTAGATAGAAAAGAGCTCTGTCATTCCCAGCATTCCCCAGTCAGAGTACTAAGACTTTTAAAAATGGAGAACATGGACAGGATTGCTACTTGAAGTACTACAGGTAGGAATCTCTGACCTTCCAGAAGTTGTTCAGCTCTGGCTTCTTTCAACATTATCTAACATGACTAGTGGTCAAGTATGATAGGACCTGTAGTCTGACAATGTCAGGAGATGCACAGACTTCCCAGCCCAAGGCACAGCCTTTATATATTCCAGGGTTGGTCTGACCTTAAAGATAAGGTCCACAGCTAAGAACAAGTCTGGGTTCACACAGACCCCTGTTTGGTACCAAAGATCACACATCCAATCATTGGCTGGAATGAGAATAGGCACCTGACTGATCCCTCCCAAGAAGGCCAAAGCTGACTCTGCCCCAGTTCTGAAGGCCTTCAGAAATGCTGGTGCCCACACTGTGCTGCAGTGTGTAGCAAAAATGTCCCCAGTTTCATCTAGGTGACAGCCTATTTTACATTTGTTGCTGCTGTTCTCATAAAACATCTTCCTATCACCCCAGTCCCATTCAGGCTCTGTAGAGAGGTATGTGTAGTGTAGATTCAGGCAATCTCCATTCTAGTCCCTGCTTAGCCATGAAGCCAAGCTCTCAGCCCAACCTACCTCACAGGGTTGTTGTAGTGGGGATAGGATTGAGAACAGGAGAGGAGTGCTTGCAGGAGAAATGTTAGCCCCAGTAATACACAAGACCGTCTAGAGGGGCTTGCCACAAAAGCATTAAATAGGGGGCATTAAATCACCTAGCTGTACTACTGATTGAATACAGAGGCATGCAGTCCATAGTAAGCAGGATAAAACGGGGGCCAAAAGCTGCAACTCTGTACACACCTACCTGGGAAATCCCATCGGGACCCAGTTTTGAAGAAACACAGGGCGGGGCTATAGGGCTGCCAAGCAAGACACGCTGGCTCAGAGGGAAGTCCTACTGAATAAAAACTTGTTTAATAGTAAATGAAAGTCAGCACACCATAGCATTGTTGGAAGATACAAGACCAAACATAGGAAGGAACAAATGTGGGTTCATCTGCTTGAGTGTTCTCAGACTGACTGACAGCAGCTTTGGGGGGGTTTCTGACAGGGGTGTTTCCAAGACCCACCTGCTGACACCAGGAATTGATCAAAGGGTCTTCTGCATGCCAAGCACATGTTCTGCCACTGATCTCATGGCCTGCTTCTCTCATGGCCACCCAATTATAGCATTTCAAATATGTATGCATTTTTCTTATGTAATCCTCGGTGTGTTTTACAAAAATATTATTAGAATACAATGCATTACTTAAGACCACACATACACACAAGAAGCCAACAATAGGCAACACTGACGCATGAGTTCTACTGGCTGCCTAATCCTTGGCAGAATTAGTCATGCATAAACACATAGGGTGGTGCTGTAAGTACATATCCAGTGTGCCACAAAACTCTGTATATGCAATGAACGATTAGGCACTTTTCCTACTTCCTGAACAGAGTATTTATTGCATGTATTTTCTTGTCTGCTTCATATTTTTAAGCAGGCATGAACTTCCGTTATGTAAATGTCAAGACATGCTAAATGCCCTGCCAGGAAAGGGATAGGGGGGCATCTCTGGAAAAGCTCCAGTTTGCAACTTAAGCCCACAAAGACCCTGGCTATCCTAATAAGCAGGAGGAATCGGTGGTGATTCCCCCTATTGTTTTAAAGCTGGGTTCTCTTCAAAACCTGTTGGCCATGAGCGGAGATCAGGGGGATAAATGTTCCCTTAGAATTGTTACCTTCTTCTGAACAAAGGCTTCTGTGTCCTTTCTTAATGCAGGAGTGGAGAGCTTCCTTCAGCCCATGGGAACCTTTCCAAGCCATTTGCCAGTGGATGGCACTGTGGGAAAAGGGGGCAGGGACAAAATACCATGCCCCAAAAGCCTCCTGCAGTTTACAGCTCTCACTACAGGTATATAAACCTTGAGAGAGGAAGTTGAACCTTTTAGAGTAGGAGAAAAGCTGCACAAAATCTGGGAAACCATGGAACGCTTGCTCTGTGGGGGAAGTGGGGGTGACCATTGAGAAAACATCAGAGGGCCAGAATTGACTCCCCTACTCATTTTAATGGCTTGCATGACAGCTGTGAAGCAGCCTCTTTCCCTAGACTGCATTTTTGATGAGAGATACATTTACCAGTTGAATTTCGGCCCATCACGTACTCATTGGATTCAAGGAAGCGTCTTTTTAATAACTTGCCTTACAGATAAAGTATTACACAAATAGAAACAACTTCACACTTTATCAATGGCTGGACGTCCACATGGTGGGCATGTCGTGAGCAGAGCCGGCTGGTGCTGGAGGTCAGACTAGATGGCCCGAGAGACCCCTTCTGACTCGCTCTGTTTTCTATGTTTCTATAATGTGGAATGGAATGAAAACTAATAGTTGCCTTTTCTGGACCAGATTAGACTAGGGAAATTGTCTATTTGCTTTGAAAAGTTCAATCTGTTAATGCCTCAGCAATCACTTTTATTACCTATCCTTTTGTGGTCTGTACAGCTTTGTAGCAAAGTGTTTTTGCTGCTGTAATATAAACAAGTAACACGTATTCATTTTGGACTGCAAATCCATTCTCCAGGGTTATTAATGCATCAAATTTCAACAGCACTGGCTATTACTTGGCAGAAAAATTACGACTGTCCAGCAGCCATAAAGCTGAATCTTAAGACAACTACACCAGGCAAACATGATTAAAAACTGCTTTTTGTGAGGTTGGGAGGACACACAGTACCCTTAATGGAGAAAAGGTCTGAGATTTCATTGTGGTTCTCCTATTACCCCATCTTCCCTTCTCCAGTAATGTCTTAAAACTGCTACCCATTCAAGCAGCTGCTAATGTTACAACAGGGCATGCTAGGTTAGGTTCTTCTCCTTGGCTGTTTAGTAGCCCTCACAGTCAGTCCAGAGTAGTGTGATGCTAGGAAAGTAGGAACTGCTTGTTACAGCAAATGCACTGTTCTCCAGGGTAAGATAATCAGATATTTATAATTTATTTTGCTTCATTTCTGCTACTGTATGTTCCTGGAAGTTCAGAGCAGCTTATGGCTTGTGGGAGGGGGGGGGGGGCGTGCCAGGCAGCCACCATGCTCTCAACCCAGGCACATATTCACCAGGCTGAGACTTGTTTAGCTTTAACAACCTAAGAGGACCAAGAACTGGACAGCCTTATGCTCATTCCTCAAACTGGAGGCAAAGCAATTCTGTAGAGCAAAGGAATGATTGAATTTGTAGTGGACTTAACTCATGTTTACTCTGGCCTAAATATAACTGAATTGGGTGGGGTTTAGTCCCATTCTGTTTGCATAAAATTGTAGGCTCTAGGTGAAAAATATTGTGTAAAAATAAAAATCAGCTAAATAGCTGGGATGATCAAAGAAAAATATTCAGACAATTTATTTCTTATTTTTAAAAAG